CCCCAGATATACATACCTTTGACATACATACATACCTCGAGTTTCTACTGCGAAAAGGGCTGGCTGGGGGTGGGTCCCTTGCTGCTGCGGGGCATGCAGCTTCTCAGCCCCAGAACCGTGGATCTTTTTTGGCAGCCGAGCCGGAAATTGATGGCGTGCTTGGGTGGTTTTCTGCAGAATTGGCCATTGACAAAGGTGTGCCTGGGAAGCTGTGGGATGCTGTGATTTGGGACAGGCCTGTCATGTCATCGCAAAAGGCCTTCACCATCCCAGATCCATGGTTCGGCTTCTTGTGTGGGGGCCACATTCCGGATCTCTTCAATCATTTACAGCAGGCGCTTCCCGAAACAGACTCGTTCACGTCACATTCATGGTAGGTCAACCCCCTCAAACAATTTCACCATTTGGTCTCCTGTGCAGGATACATTTGGCCTGCGGCAGCGCTTGACGGTTGCCTTCGCACCTCCCACGTGGCTGCCATTGCACGAGATTCGTGCTGCTTGTTCCCGATTGCCTCCAAACGCTCGGCGTCCGGGGGACTTCTTGGCCTCTCTGCTCTTTCCACTCCTATTTTCGAGCTTGCGGAGGGACAGAGAATCTTTGGTGGCCCCTGGTGCAGCTCCACCCGGGTATACCTTCTGGCCCAATCAAGATGATGGCGCGCAAGATCTTGTGGACCAGAAATTCGATTTCCGTATGGCGAAGCAAAAGGAGACATTCCTGGTGCATGACCAGCATGACACAGCCAAGTACCACGGAAAAATGCGCACGAAGTTCGACAGGTTGGTCCTCGCGATCCACTACGTCCACCACATTTGCATCCACTTTCTCCAGAAGCAAGCGGCGGGCGTGGATATTTTGGGTTGGATCCTTAGCTTTGCTGTAAACCTTAAGACATCTACATTTTGCACGTGTCCCTTTTCTGGCACAACCTCTACTGCCCAGGTCAAGACTTTGCCTCCTCTTTGACATTGCCGCAACAGATCCCCAAAAAGGTCGTCGAGTTCGCATACTGGCTTGGCGAGCATTGTGAGAGAACTTGGGAAATTTTGGACTTGGGCCGAAACCCGGCGCAACCGTCAGACTTGGATGATGACGGCAAGCAGCCTACTTCACCCCCACGTAGGCAACGTAGATTGTCCGTGGATGCCTTGGGCAAGGTCTTGGCGGACATGTCCTCCGTTCTCAATGCCAAGGCCTTGGATACGATCCTGCGAGCTGTGGAAGAAGATTGGGCCCGAGTCTTGCAGGATCAAAACTCTCCCCTGTCGACCGACTTCGTCCAGCACATGATGCAGACCGTCCTGCTGACCAAGGATGTTTGGATTTGGTTTACGAAGGACAGCTTGCGAGACACCCTCGTCCAAGCTGCTGCAGCCGTTGGTAAGAAGGCCTTTGCGTTGCATGGCACGGTGGCAGCCTGTGCTCTGCTGGCATTGTTGCATGTGGGCAAACTTGTGCGCTCGGAGAAGACAGTTGGGGGTGGAAGGCCTGTCTGGTACTTTCGCAAGCGCCCCGTCCAGAGTCAGACAGCCGATGGCAAGGCGCTGCAACCTCTCCTGCAGTTCCTCGGCATCAGTCACACCACAACACCTTCGTTTGAAGCCTATTGCCAAGGGACGCTGGCAGAGACCGCCGTGCCTCCTCGAGCACCTTCCGTTGGTGCCTGGATCCCTGTGCAGGCAGAGACGTGGAAGGAGTCTTTGGAGACGTTGGGCTACGACATCACACACCCTCCGCAGCCTGCTGCTGGTGCTCCTGCTGGACCTGCCCACCCACCCGTTGAGCATGGTGGCTTTGGCAATTAGCAGCTTTTGCACGCTAGCCGGTGAGGTCGCGTCCTCGCCCGAGTCTTTTTTTCGGAGACAGACAAAACATGGAGCACTGACTTCCGTTCACGGGGCTGGCTTTTTCTCGTGGCCTGGCAGGCAGCCGTTTTTGTGTTGAAAGCCTGCAGTTCGTGGATTCCATTGGTTTTTGCTTTTTCTCGTCGACACCTGTCGAGCACACATCGTAGCCGAACATATGCAGCCGTTTTGCCGCTTCGAGTCTGTGCTTCGTTGCCCGCATGTCGCTTCCGTTGCCACCGGTCGCGTCCTTCCTGGCACTGCTCGCGCCGTTGCAGCCGGAGCACCTGGGCATGCTGACTTTGGCATACAACGTGGCCGACGCACCCGGTCGCGCAGCTTTGGCGCAGCAACTCTTGCGAACCAATTTTGGATACAATGCAACCTTGGAGCAGATCAACCTCATCTACGACCGCCTGCTGCAGCAATGCCCAGCGTCCATCGCGGTCACACAAGCGCCGGCCAGTGGCCTCGCTTTGCGCCCCGACTCCCACGAGGCTTTGCAGACCTTACCCTACGTGCCTGCCTGGCAGAAAGGGGTCTGTGCACTGGATGGCGGCGTGCTTTTTCGATGGCAATGCATTCCAACGAAGTGCTTTACATTCACTCTCGGCTTGCAGGCTGGACACCTGCTGTGTCTGCGATGCAGTCGGTGCAAGGCAGTCTATGCAGGTCCCTGGTACTGGCCGGAGGTGCGAGATGAAAAGCTCTTTCCCCGCGGCCATCATCATCTTCGCATCCATGCCGCAACATTCACCGGCCTCGACACAGAGCGATGGTTCTTCGTGACACCTCAAGTCTGCTGGGACAGACATCTGCTGCATTGGTGTTTGCTACTAGCAGCTCGCGGTGGCATCACTTGGACGGCGCTCTATGTCATCTACTCCACCCTGTGGGGCCACACTTTGCAGGGCTCTCAATACGCCACCAGACAGCACTTCGTGGCAGCGGTGGAATTGGCGGCGTGGGCCTCAGTGCCCGCCTTCCTTTGCGCAGTCTTCAATTTGTTTTGCGCATGCTACTCCTGTTCATGGTTTGCTTTCTGACACACTCAGGTCATTCTTTTCGGCGCCTTGCGCCTCCTCGCAGCTTCCACTGACATGAACTTCCTGCATCTGGACTTCTTTCTACGGCCGCACCACCTGGCAGCGGACCTGCAACCTGTGCTGGAGAGCGTGCGCTCTGCGTGGCAGAGCGTGGCGAAAAAGCATTGCTGCCCCTTGTGCAAGACCGTGCCAGCAGTGGTTGTGGATGGGAAGTGGAATATGCAGTGCCTCATTTGCAACGACAGGGGCTCTGCATACAAATGGAATCGTGGCTTGCACGCCGGGATTTTGACTGGATGCACGGCGCGCCCTTTGCGGGGTTCCAAATATTGCGCCGCGCACCAGCCGCCAGCAGGCCCTGTGGAGCAGGTCACAATCACCGCTCACCGGGAAATCTGTGAGGGTGAGGCCATCCTCCTGGAGTATGAGGTGGGCAACCGTGTGTGGCAGAGAGCCGCAGCCGTGCCCATGGGTGCTATTCGCACATATGAAATGGACCTTTTGCCACTCAGGGAGCCGCTGCTGAAACAGCCCGATGCGTGCGGCGCAGACCCGCGGCGAGGCAGTCCCGAAGCCAGCATCGGGCGCAAGTCGGCTGGCATTCTCGCTGCTGTCTCGCCGTGCATGCGCGTGGTCGCCATTCAGCCCATGTACGCGACAGAGTCGCAGGGACAGGTGGTTTCATTTCTGGATGACATCTTGCAAATGTTGCCTCGCACTGCTTGGGTCATCTACGATTTTGCTTGTGGCATCCGCCGGCACATCCGCACACAGCTTTCTTTGAGGCGGTCCAAACCCGAGGCTTCAAGATGGCAAGCATTGGATGCTTTGACGTGGGTGGTGGATAAGATGCACTTCAAGACCCACAAAGGCTGCAGGAATCCACAGTCACCTTGGTACGAGCCTTCCGTCAATCCGTACGTGCCCCGGTAGTGATAGCTTCGATGCGTTGGCTCCAAGCCCTACTGCTACAGCATATAGTAGGTGCTGAGTCACTGTCATGTAGGAACCTTACCAAGTGTTGCTGCTGCACCCTAGAGGTCCTACTTCCATGTCCGCATGCAGGTCCTACACCCTCTAAGTCCTTACCTGCCTGAGGCGCACGATGCTTTGCGTGGAGTCGACACAGAAGCTGCAGAGCAGATTTTTCACATTGCGGCGCGCTGGCAAGCCTCTTTGGCCACAGCGCACCCGGTGCATCAAGAGCTGCAACTTCTGATTTATAGCCACGAGCACAATGAGAGGCAGTGCCCCGATGTGCCTTGGGAGAGGTACCAAATAGCACAGGCCTCTGGCGCGTCGCTGGACCCAGGTGCCCACGTTGACGCTTGTGCGGCATCCGCCTCCACGGCATGTACCCCACCAGCACGCCCCGCCCAGAAGCGAGCAAAGCCCCATCAAACATGCCAAGCCCCACCACCAGACCGTGCTCCAGTTGATGTGGGACAAGCAGATCCCCCAATCCACCTGCCACCGAGGCGCGTGAGCAGAGACTTCCTGGCCGGTGCCTTGGTGCTTGTCAACCCAGACACCAACACCGTGCATCGTGTGGATGCCGCTGTGCAAGACTCGGTCCGCACAGGGTGTCATTGGATTCCGGCACCTGGGGCCCGCAGACTAGCCGTGCCTGCAGCTCAGCTGTCTGGTTCCAATTTATATAGCTGCGGTACGTGCTTCGGTCGGCGCCACGCTTTGGACCTCTAGTTGCTCGTGGGTGCTTCCCCACTTTTTGGCCGACGCGCAGAAAAAGGTTTGCGCCGCTTCTGCGTCTCAAGTCGTGCTATGTCTTCGACTCCATGTCCAGACGGCACTGTACCTGCCGCCTGCGTCCTGGTCCATTACGTCCACTTAGGTCCAGACCTCCTGCGCTCTCCGTTGCCCTTGCTGCCGAGGCCCCAGTGTTGCAGCTGCTACCTGCACTCTTTGGCCACATACACGTCTGTGTTGCACATGTATCCAGACATACATACATACCATACATACCTGTAATTTACTCGGTCTGTATGTTTCCCCGGACATACATACATACATACATACCTACATACATACATACAGGGTATGTATGTTTCCCCGGACATACATACATGATGGGTATGTACGACTCTGCTATGTCTCCGACAAACATACATACCCCTGCTTTTGAGGTATGTACGTTTGGACCATGCATACATACAGACATACCGCTTCTTTTCTAGGTATGTCTCTCTCCCCCAACCGACATACATACCATACATACCTCTAATTTTCTAGGTATGTATGTTTCCCCGGACATACATACAGACTAGGTAGGTCTGACTCTTCTATGTCTCCCAGAAACATACATACCCGTGCTTTTGAGGTACGTCCGTTTGGACCATGCATACATACATACATACATATACCCCTTCTTGTCTACGTATGTATGTTTCCCCGGACATGCGTACATGCCGGACATTCCCCTATACTTTTCTAGGTCTCTATGTTTCCCGAGACATACATACATACCTCTCCTTTTCCAGGTATGTATGTTTCCCCGGACATACATACATACCTACGATTTTCTGGGTATGTATGTTTCCCCAGACATACATACATACCTATCATTTTCCAGGTATGTATGTTTCCCCAGACATACCTACCAGGTATGTATGTTTCCCCGGACATACATACATACCTACGATTTTCTGGGTATGTATGTTTCCCCAGACATACATACATACCTATCATTTTCTAGGTATGTATGTTTCCCCGCACACACATATATATCTTTATCATACATACATACCTATAGTTTCTAGGTATTCTTGCTCCTAGGTATCAATGTTGCCCCAGACATACATACATACCTATACATTTCTCGGTCTGTATGTTTCCCCAGAGATACATACATACCTATACTTTCTAGGTATGTATGTTTCCCCAGACATACATACATACCGATACATTTCTAGCCATGTATGTTTCCCCAGAGATACATACATACCTATAGTTTCTAGGTATGTATGTTTCCCCAGAGACACAGACATACCTTTGACATACATACATACCTGCAGTTTCTACGTATGTATGTTTCCCCAGACATACATACATACGTATCATTTTCGAGGTATGTATGTTTCCCCAGACATACATACATACCTTTCACATACATACGTACCTCTCCTTTTCTAGGTATGTATGTTCCCCAGAAACATACATACCCCTGATTTCGAGGTATGTACCTTTCGACCATACATACATACATACATACATACCTAGATGGGGGGGGGAGGCAGGGGTTGCCTGCTAGATACTTACTAACCTCCGCAAACGAGGTATGTATGTTACCCCCCTGGGGTTCTTACTCATCGCCTTAGATGGGAGGTCTCCAAAGGGGTCCCAAGGCATTTCTCCTTCTCTCCTTCTCACCAGCGCTGAGGACTTGGATGAAGAGGCCGGCTTCGCTCGCTCGGGCTGGTTGGTTCGCTTGTAGCAGACCCATTCTCGCTTGAAGGACGCCAAGAATATCCGCAAAAGCGGTTTTTGATCACCCAAAGGCCCAGGGGTTGGAAAACCAACTCCAGACAATCTTAGCAACATCTGGAGATGGAAGAGCTCCCCCCTGGCTGGCCACTTTGAAGGTGATGCACTTTAAGATCAGGCGAAGGTAGATGCCTCACCACATGCGAAGCAAATGTGTATAGACATCACTCAATTATACTCAAATATATAAGATGATATAACAAGTGATAATAAAATGTATCTAATTCATCAAACCTCACCTGGACCTGTTGACTCTTTGTCCCAGTATCCAACTCGATTTGCTCCATATAATATGTGCCTCCAAGGATGTGCAGCCATCCACTTGTAGGCACCTCATGTCTGGTGATTTTGGGGTGAGCTTCGAAGAATGTCCCCTCACGGAGTCACCGTGACCCTCGGGCGAGCCCATCCATCGGTTGCGGGAAACAAAACAACTAACCAGTTTATACAGGCTGCCACTCCAGAATTGGCACTTTCCAACCCTGAGGTCCTATGCGCACTGACCGTGAGCACTGACCGTGAGCACCAGTGGATGGGATAGGTCGCAGATCCCTCCCAGGTGCCCAGGCCGTCCTCGCGCGTGACCCGCGCCGTGCGGCCAGGCACGAGCCCTACCTGCTCCTCGAGTCGACGGCGCCGGACCCCTGCCGCGGCCGCAGCAGCACCTCGAAGAGGCCGGACGCTGATTTTTCATATATGTTGGTTTTCTTGCTCTTCTCTCCTTTTAGGACTCCAAAGAGGCCAGACTGCCCAATATCGCCCTGAGTCTCTCACTTTTTTGGTCGGCGGGGTGTTGTGGAGAGGACGGAAGGCTGGGGCGGTGTTCTGTTTAGGGTCAGGGATGATCGAGCTCCAGACCTATTAGAGAGACACCCAGCGGACGAAGGATGATGGGAACAATGAGTGATGAGTCGTTTGAAGGCACGGACACCTCTGGACACCGAAAAGAGTGACGCTTTTCGAGATTACCTCTCGAGGCGAATTGCTTGGATCTACTAGGTGCATGCTGAGGCTCTCCGAACTCCAGGTCCTGATCTGTTTGGTGAAAGTAGGACAGAAGCAGGACAGAAATGCCTGAGTTTGGAAGCTTGACTGTTCCCGACCTAATTATGGGCCTGAGTTGGAATATCCGGGGCAATTTCACTTTCCTGAGACCAAAGAAGGCCTGCCTGCTTTTTCACCCGTCCACATCCCTACTAGGCTCATTAGGAGCCGATCACGAGATCCCCGCAAGACGACCTTCTCAAACTGTAGTCAGGCCTTATTTATATTAATATACCATGGGCTGTGGGTCAACAGGTTTAGAGCACAGATGCTTTAGACAACCATGACCCGGCCTTTAGACCACAGATCTTTATACCATGACGCTTCAGACGGCGCCGTCTCCGGTGCGTCTCAGGCGTTTGATCTACTATGAACAGGCGAGGTCTCCGGTGCTGGTTGACGGAACGGTTGACAGTGGACGGATTAAGAAATAACACAGCAATTATGTTGGCAATTATGCAGCAATTATAGCGTCAAAAAGAATGGACGTGGAACATTTTGTTGTGGGTAGAGGACCAATAATTGTCAACAAGTCTTCGACGATGCGATGATCACTTCCGTGGTTCGAGGGTTCGAGTGGTTGGTTGGTTTTGTATTGTTTATGCCGTCAAATCCTTCAGCCAGCGAACGATGTGCTTCGGCCAGCGAACCGTCGTGCTCGCTCTGGCAACTCACCGGGGCACATCAGCGGAATCAGATTTGATTCCGGTGCTTCATAGCTGGGCTCCGTTCGGCAGGACGTGGTGGCTCCAGTCCCCACAGGCTTTGAGTGGACAGAGGCCTCCGAGCAGGTGGAGGCCTGCAGGGGCTAGGTCGGAAGGAGCAAAACAATCCAGGGACTTCAGGACTTCGACTTGGAAACCAGGATGGACACAGGAATTTGGACTCACTTGGGGCGAAACCTCCTCAAGCACCCCTAAGATTCTGGACAGTCAGGAAACACCAGTGGGGAGGGGTCACCACCTCAGAGAGCGAAAGACCTTCCACGTGCCCGGTCGGTCTTTTGATTTGGACCCATGTGCGGGTCGGTGGGTGTGAATTTAGACTGCGAAAGCGAGACTTCCAACCAAATGGGTAGAGACTGGTTTTGTAGACTGGTGGTCCCAGGAAAGAGATCAAAGAAGTGTATGACCACTGCGTACTACTGCCACTTCCCCAAGAAGGGTGGTGACTGTTTTTTCAAGGAACATTGTAGTGGGGTCCTGTGTTACTGCGTTTGAACTCAGTTGACCCAGTTCGCGGGAGCCATGAGTGGGTGTTCCGGATTCTTTATTTTTTTTCTCCTCCCTCTGCGGACGATCAGCATGTCACCGACAGGATCGGCACTTGCTTCTCTTTTATGCGGCCTCGCCGAGCCTTGGTGGCGGCTCCGAGCCGTGTTTCCTCGACTCGTCAGGGTCGTTATATAAGGGTCTTGTTGATGAAAATCCGACCCTCCTGGAATGTAAAGCCAGTTCTGGAAGCGGTGTTGTCGCATGGTTTTATATCGTTTTAAACAACAGCCTACATGAAAGATCATGAAAGTACGGATTTGGGACTCGAGGGTCGGGTGAGAACTCTTCAGAAGACTCTTCTGTCTTAGTTGTTGTGTTGGACCATGGGTTGAATATATACATACCTATTTATATGCATATATAATATATATATACACATGACCAATATTTTAGTTGATAGCTGGGCAAGAGCTGATGGAGTTTCAGATGTCACGAAAGCTATCCATAATTTGTCAAGGTCGTTTATGGACATACAGGCTCAACCACCCCATGTTCCTCATAGATTCCCCACATTGCTTGACTCTTTCTGAGCCACATGAACCAAGTTGGCATGGGCAGGCAAGGACACACATGCGATGTCATTGGCAGTCACAAGCAACATCATGCACGCTGAACAAAATAATCAAGTGACTCATGTGACCAACTAGGGTTGAAACTGCTTCAAACTGCAACTTCACTAGCAGTAAGAACCCACTTCACCAGTTCTAGTATCCTTTAATAACATTTAGTAACCAGTCTGAACTGGTGAAGTGGTGCTTTCGTGGCCCTAAGCTGTCACAGCTTGGTGCCGTGACCCCGGCGAGGAACTCCTGCATCCGCCGCCACATCAGCCGAGAGCTGGCAGAGTCTGCAGATGCTGAGGCACCTCATGGGTCATGCGAAGTTGTGTGAGTGGACCTGCAGTGGTGAAGTCGTGTTTCTTTCCTTTGGCCCCTTGGGCCACGTGGTGTTAAGATCGCGCAAACCGTCACAAACCATTAAAGGGCCATGCAATGGGCCGGAGCAATGCCAAACAAGCTGCACGAAATTCGAGATGCTTTACCGTCCTTGCAGCCACAGGACCAATCTGTAGCTCTTGCAACTCGTGCTATTATGTAACCAAGATCCAGGGGCTTAGGGGATAGAATGTTTGTGGCAAAGTATGGGAAAAAAACAGATTCAAGAAAAGAAAGGCAGGTGGATGCAGGTGGGAAAAACGGTCCTGTAGCACTCGGGTTCGATGGGCTGAGCATACCGTCTTGGGTTGTACCGTGGCCTTGAAAGGAACGGTGGTCGCATCCATGCCAGAAACACGACCCTTTTCTTTCTCACTTGTGCATACGTTTTGGAAAGCTTGACTGCAAACCCGATTAGAATCCCACCTGAGCAGCGGGTTTTTCTCGATGGACGAGACAAATCGACTGGCGCGGGGAGTGTGGGTTGTCCTGATATTGATGTTTTTTCCTTGTTGGAGTATTTCTTGTTGTCCAGCTTGCATCAGCATACTTCAAGTGCATATGGCAGTCCTTGGGCGTTTGAGAAGCCGTGAAGCTGATGGCCAGACCCCACTTCAATCCAGGGCCTTGTGGTTTGTCGGGGAAACATGTGGCCAAGGGGGATCACGTCGTGTGCATAGAAAGAAGCGACTTTGCCCCTCAACCTCCAGTGTTTGAGCAAGGGCAGTGGTTTCGACCAGAGACTGGAGAGAATGGTTTTGCCCAGGGCCCAGGGGGTTGCACACATTTGAATGTGAATTCCACGAATGCTACCTCTCCCCGTCGGGCGATTGAAGGGAACATCAATCAGCTGGTGCCCGGTGATGATGCCAGACGCTGCTGCAGTTTGCTGCAGGTACTGGTGATTCCAAAGCCAATCCCAAAGAAACCTTGGAGCGACTTCCTTTACCGCTCGAAGTTTTGCTGCTCGACCTACCTGCGGGAAGTGGGCTCAGACACCATTTGCACCAAGGACTCCTCCATCGCCAAGAAATTAATGATTGAGACCATTTGTTCCTGAACAGTTTCCAATACCGGATGTTTGTTCTGATTCATTCCTTTGCAAGCAGCTGGCTGACTCATCTTGGCATAGCCTAGCGGCCTAGCGGCTAGAGCGTTTTTTCGGATCATGCCGAGCCCAAGTCAAAAGTACTTTTGGGCTTTTTTGTATATGCATCCTTCCCATCCTCAGCTAACAACGATGTAGAGAGCCTTTAGTGGAATTAGATATATATATATATATATCCACTAAAACCATGCCTTTGAACTGTAAAGGGAACGAAGACTCCCTTGGATTCTTAAAGGGGCTCAAAGGAAGGGAAAAGGGATTCCTTCGTTCTGGTGGTGGTGGTGGACCCTTGGAAGATGCTAAACATCGTAGCCGGGGCAAGGGCTCCAAAGCCTTGCACTATCCCATCCCCCCCGAAACAATTGAACACAATTCAATCCCAGGGTGCTTGTGGAATACCCTCCATGAAAAAATTGTTTGCAGCAATGATTGGGATAAGGTTGAAAAAGGGGTTTTGACAAAGGCTTTCAGGAAACACATCCACAAAACACTTGGGAGAGTCAGCTTTGATTATCCCAACCCCAAAAACAATCTAAGGGTTGGACATAGTTTTGCATATCCGTAAGTACCTCCCTACCGCACAGCTGGATCCAATATTTGATACATTTGCGGCTGGTGCCCGGAGGGTTTTCCAATGAATTTCACGAAAGGTAGCCCTTTAGGGGATACCTTGAGTTTGTCTTGCGAAGCAAGTGTTGGGACGTCCGGGTCTAATAATTGATCGCCCAATTCAGACCCCCCCCCCCCCCCCCCCCCCCCATTTATTTTTTAAAAACCCCCCCCCCCCCAAAAAAAAATGGTAAAAGGGGGGTTCTGGGGAGGATTTGTTGGTGTGTTGCTTGTTTGGATTTTTTGTTGATGTTCAATGTGTTTTCCTTGCTGTTGATGTTTTATGTGTGGGGGGTTCTGGGGAATTTTTCATCAAAACTTTCACCCCTACCTGTTTCATTTTTTGCTTCATGTTTCTTCCCTATGTTAGTCTCATTCATTTTCTCAATTTTGTTTTTTGTTGGTGTGTTGCTTGTTATGATTTTTTGTTGATGTTCAATGTGTTTTCCTTGCTGTTGATGTTTTATGTGTGGGGGGTTCTGGGGTTTTTGGGGTTCTAACTTTTCTGGGGCAGATGGTTTTAAGATGAGGTGGATGATTGTTGTTGCTATTGTATTTTATTTCTAGGTCTGGGTTTATGGGTTGTAACTATGCTGTGGTTATAGGTTGTAAAGTTTTATGGGTTGTAGCTATGATAGTTTTCCTTACAAATGGGTAAAGTTCAGTTCTCAAAAACTCAACATCAAATATGGTTGAATATGTTATTTTTTGTATCCATAACCTTTTATCTTAAACATTATTCTTCAAATATCCAACATTTGGTCTTTGATAAGCAATTTGTAAACTTTAGGTATCCATAAGGTTTCACACCATTCTTTGCGCTTCTTATAAATGTTTTTACACATTGGGAATTCCTCTTGATTGCGCAGAAAGCAAAGTCAGATTATCAGATGGAGGGTCTGGGCTCGGTGATTTTTGTCAAGACTTCCAACCCTCCTCTTTGGTTTATTCCAAGAGGTGGGCATTTGTTGTTCCTTTTTGACTTTGGCGTTTTTTGCACCTTCAGAACACTGGAGCGGATTAAGCGAAACAATCACAGTGCATTTGGCCAAATTGCTTTGGCCTCTGTTTGTCGACCTCGACGCCGTCTTCATTCAATTTTTGCAGGATGCCCCAGCTGGGTGTGGGTGTGCATAAGGCATACAGTCATTCAAATTCAAAACATGAGCTTCGGAAGGTCCCTTGCAGAGGTTAAAGGCGCGTGGTATTGTTCAAAAACAGTTCAAAAAACATCAAAAAACATCAAAACTTGAAAAAACAATGGTTTCGCGCGCTTCCCTCAAATCAGCAGATTTCTAATTCACTTTTTGGAGCTTCGTCATTGATGGGTGGTGCGCAGAGCCTCTCACAAAAACCTCTCACACGGACGGCAGAGAACAAGTGGTGCAACAAGATATACGAAGACTTGCTGCAGGAGAACGAGTCTGACCGCATCAAATTTCTCGGCTCTGTTGCAGACCATTTCTATGACTTTGACACGGAAGTGGTCGTCAGCTTTCCAGGAGTACATGGCAAGGCGTGGAATTTCTTGACAGAAAAAGTGAGCCAGGCTTCCAGCAACCTGCGGACAAGTTGCATTTTTCTTCCTGATGAGGATGCAAAGGGGTTCGGTGAGCATGCTGCGACTGGAGCTGGAGGCTTTGTCTGCCACTGTAAGCATCTCTATGGGAAGAAACAGGCCTGGGGGTGCGCATGGTACAAACTATGGATTCGGAAAACGCTTCAGGCTCGTAACTGCAATCTCATTGTAGTGACCAAGCAGGATGGCACCCTCGGAAGGTCACAAAATGGGGAGGTCAAGTTCTTGGAGCAGGTTGGCTTGCTTTACACCAAAATGACAATCAAGGAGTTCGTGATATATTATGCTGAGCATGCGCCAGAAATTGAAAAACGGGAGGTTTCCGCCAGTTTGCGTGACCGCATGGAAAAATGCCTTGCGGCGAGACGAAGCAACTTTGACAAGGTACTCATGTTGAGCAGGGTCAACCCCATCCAGTATTATAGCCATGAGGATTATGCGATAGGCCTGTCTGACAGGTTTCGTAAGAGCTAGGCGATTTTCCTCCAAAGGAGTGCTAGGCGATTTTCCACCTCTCGCCTCAATGGCTCGATGAGAAAAAGAGCGATACCCAATTGCGTCAATTGCATGGCTGGTGTTGGTGGCATTTGCTTTCTTCCATTGACGTTTGTCAGAGCTTTGCACCAGTATGGTTGTTGAGAGAACTCCGACTGTCATAGTTGATACTCTCACCACTTGATTTGACCTGTAGGCATTTCTGCCTCAAGACTGTATAGAGTGTTTCAATCTCCGTTTTGTCAGTCTTGCCTTTTCACAATGCCTGTCCGTGGATTTCTCAAAGGTCATCTCAAGAATGAGGCGGGTGTCAAAGCGCTCATCAAGCGGTCGGTGTCCAACATCAAACCCAAGCTTGACCACTACGAGTTGGTGAATGACCCTCCTGCTACAATCCGTCCAATCGTTCAACCAATCACGGAAAAGATGAATGCTTGGAAGGCTCGTGTCAGTGGAGGTGATGAAAGTGTCATCAACCAGTTCCTTGAGAGTTTGCCCGACGAAAAGCTTGCGGAGTTGAAGAAAATATTTGAGAAGAAAGGTCGTGGTCAAAACACCGAGGACAAAATCTTGGACAGTTCCTTTGTGGTGTTGAGTGAGTTGGATGAAATCAACTCCTTCATCAATGAACTCTTCAGGGTCAAGGCGGAAGTCATCAACACCTACACGGAAATCTATGCCAGAACCTACAACAACAGTGCCACTTCATCGGGTGAAGTCCAGTTCAACAACGAACCTTTCCTTGAGGCACTGAGGGATGTGATTTCATATAGGAAGAGGTTGAGACGAAATTCGCAAGAGGATGTTTCAAATGACAACCTCATTAACGACGATGCCACTGAAGACGCCAATCGTTGCGTCCTGATGTAGGTGTTGGCTGTTGTAGTTTTGCCACAGAACCCCAGCAGGATTGGATACCCAGAACCAAGTATCAATGATACCCCGATACCAGTATCCAAGTATCAATGATACCCAGAACCAAGTATCAGTGATACCCTGATACCATTATCCAAGTATCACCGATACCCAGAACCAAGTATCAATGATACCCCAATACCAGTATCCAAGTATCACCGATACCCAGAACCAAGTATCAATGATACCCCGATACCAGTATCCAAGTATCACTGATACCCAGAACCAAGTATCAATGATACCCCAAACAGAGTATCAACAACAAGATGTTGGGGTTCGCATTGCACGACCCATTGACACAGCACAGAAGCCCTTGGCGTCATTAATTTGACACCATTTGGACTATATCCGTGTCGTTTCCTCAAGCCTTTGCTTGAAACGCCGTCCGTTCCGATGGCATTTAGCACTTTATAAGTCCATCCAACCGACAGTAAAGACGTGTGAATTCATCATCGCCAGCGATAAAAAGTATCCTAACTGGACACTGCTTCTTTCTTGATGTGTCATCGTCGGCACCTGTGCTTTGCCCACTTCAATTTCCTGCGCTTTGCCCACGCTGAGGTTAAGAAGACATCAGGGATAAGAACTTCTTGAAGGGGTGGAGAGACGGGAAACTTCAGAGTTTGACTTCTATATAAGCCAGAATTTGGAGGGAGTGGCTTAACCTAAGAAACTCCAGAGTTTGACACTTGAACAGTGGAACAAGTGGCTTATCCAAGCAACCTCTCAAAGCCTGACATTTGGCAAACACTTCCACTAAATTCACTAAATATATCGTAGATTGGATTGACCTATATACATCTATCTCTCTATCTACCTATCTATTGTTCTATCGTCCGTCCTGCTTGGTCAGAAGGGAGGTCTTCATCCACTTCAGGGGGGTCGGGGGATGCGTCGGCGTTGGCGTTGCGTCGTTGCGATTGTTTGTTTTTGTTTCTTTTTTTTTACGACGAAGAAGGAGGAAGAAGAAAGGGGGGCTGACCGGATGGGGGAGAGGCGAAGAGCCCATTGGTGGAAACAGAACCCCCACCGGTCAGACCCCCCAGAGACGAGATGGTTTTTGTTTTTGTTTTAATTCGGTTTTTTGATTTTAACAGGTCATAACAGAAGGGGTGGTGGTGATGACGGGGAGCGCAGTGGCATTGACCCAAAAGCATACCCGTCAAATCATCATCATTCCTTCTGTGTAGGATAAGGTCTTAAATGACCACCCCCATATGAATATCTTATAGTAGATAACCGAGTTCCTTTGGGAGTGATGACAGTTTTAAAATTTTTACATTACTCCCATCCGTTCTTCGGTTTAACTAAATCCCCCAAAGTGTGGCAGGAACAGGGATTGGAAAGTGAAGAT